TAATGAGGGGGAAAGAGGAGAGCGCAAAAATGGTCTGAAGCTCAACTCCCAAAAAAATAAGATCACGGCCACTGGTCCCATCATCTCCTGGCAAATAGAAGGGGACGATATGGAGGCAGTGACAGATTTCACTTTCTTGGGCTCCATGATCACTGCAGATGGTGACAGGAGCCACGAAATTCAAAGATGGCTGCTTCTTGGGAGGAAAGTAATGACAAACTTCGACAGCATCTTCAAAAGCAGAGACATCACCTTGCCGACAAAGGTCCGCATAGTCAAAGCTATGGTTTTTCCAGTAGCGATGTATAGAAGTGAGAGCTGGACCGTAAAGAAGGCTGACTGCCGAAGAATTGATGCTTTTGAATTGTGGTGCTGGAGGAGACTCTTGAGAATCCCCTGGACTGCAAGGAGAACAAATCTATCCATATGGAATGAAATCAACCCTGGGTGCTCACTGGAAGGACAGATCCTGAAGCTGAGGCTCCAATACTTTGGTCATCTCACGAGAAGAGAAGACTCCCTGGAAAAGACCCTGATGTTGGGAAAGTGTGAAGGCAAGAGGAGAAAGGGACGACAGGGGACGGGATGGTTGGACAGTGTCATTGAAGCGACCAACGTGAATTTGACCCAACTCTGGGAGGCAGTGGAAGACAGGAGGGTCTTGCATGCTCTGATCCATGGGTCACCAAGAGTCAGACACAACTTAACGACTGAACAACAACAACAGTAAAATCTGAGTACCTAATGATGAAAGGTGTGTGTTTCGGTATTGAAAATCTCTTGGCAATGGGAAGAACTTGTAAGATCTACAAAGAGCACCAGTTAATTTCCAAACTTTAGGAATGTAGCTTAAAAAGTGCTGTACATATATATGTACAAATACATAGGATTTTCCTGATTCTGAATTCATTCACATTAATACATCAAACAAAAAAGGAGTCACAACAGGACATGCTCAAATCATATGCCTCAAAAAAACTCACAAATATTTACCATATTTTTTAGTTTATAATACGCCCATTTGTAAGACACCCCCCTTTTCTAACCCCCAAATTAAGAAAACCTAGCTTTCAGGATTCAGCCTGTGGGCTCAGAATGTTGGACATTATGAGTCCCTGTTGAATCTGAGCTTATAGGCTCCACCTCCAACGAGGTGTGTTCCAATTGGTTTGTTCAGCATCAGTTCCATAAGGCTCGTGATTGGAGGAAGCTGTCTGCCACCTGACTGTAGGAAGCTAAGCCTCGTGACTGAAGGAAGCCTGTTTACAGAGGCAAGGTATGTGTCATTTTGTTCTCTCCTCAGCTATCTAAGCTTACTTCCATGTAAAAGATGCCCGTCAATTTTTAGTGTAATGATTTTAGGGAAAAGTAGTGTCTTATACACTGAAAAATACAGTATGTTGCAGCTTCAGCATTTAGCTGAAGTTCATTTCTAAATGCCTGAAATATCAGTTTTTGCTGAACCAAGCATAGCTTTAAATCTAAAGGGCATTAGGACAAATTTCCACTGGGGGATTTGGGCTGCTTTTCCAGTTGTTTGTTCCTCTCCATTCTCATTTATTAATATAAAATGTAGTGTTTTCTAATAAGCATTCATATACTATGGCTATTGGTTTCAATTTCTCTGAAGATGCTATAAATGCCTTCAAAGTAGCAAGAACTGCCAAGGCACTCAAGGTCCACGGCCCATATCTGGATACTGAACGATACTGCAATTGTAAATATGGCTATACCTCTCCAGAAGGTAGGTTGGATGTGGACTGTTAAAAGTATTGTCTTGATACGTAACAGAGGCAATACTATAAATAGATGTCAATAACCAAAAAGAAATTTGACTTATTAATAGTAATTATTTCAAAAGAAATATGAATCACTTTAATCCTCTAGCCAAGGATTTCCATGATTTACCTGTTTTTTAACGGACATCTATAAAACTGAAGGGACAAAAAGATCTTGTAAAATAACTTAGATCCTTACTGTTCTGATCCATATGAATATCATGCTAAACAAAAAACAGTTTGAAATATAGACTCCCCTCATCCTCTAATCCTTTTAAGAAAGTAACCACTGAAACATAGTTCTCAAACAGCCCTAATTACTTAATCTCATCATTGTACTCTTAACAGAGATCATCTAGTAACAGACCTGCCAAATCTCATTTACAAAGGATTACATGTAAGGAATTGGATTCAGTGTATCCTCAAACCAGGATGGATAGGATATGTTTGATGGAATTCAAAATGCTATCACTATCACCGCTGCCTCATTTACAAGCAATTGTCAGAATATATATTTTTTAATTTAAAATATTTTATCCCACCTTTCTCCTTAAAGAGAGCCCAAGCCAGCTTACATAATTAAACTGTGATATTTAAAAGCTAAAAACAGTAAATATGAGTAAGTATGCAAGATCAAATACCACATACAAAAAAGGTAAACAAAATCAGCACCAAAACACATTCAAAGTAACAAGGCACAGCAATCCATTAAAAGACCCCTCTCAGCCAGTTATTAAGGGAAAGCCTGCCTGAAGAGAAAGGTATTTGTCTGCTTGGAGGAGGACAGCAAAAATTGGGCCAGCTTAGCCTCCTGTGGGAGGGAGTTCCAGAGTCTGGGAGCAGCAACAGATAGCACTTCAAAGATTCATGCTGCTTATTATCTCATCTCTTTTAAGATATATTATTGGGACAATCTAAAGTTAGTGATGCTTACACAAGACATGAAATTAATGGGATTTAACTCTGTCACAGCTTTTTTGTCTTTATTTCAATGGGTTTGTTCTAAGTTTGCTCAACTCACAATTGATACACTATATTCTGAAAGATCAAATCACCTAGGTAGAAACTTCTCTAAGCACTACTGCCCAAATATCCCTTCAATTTGTTTTCCTTCAACATATCTAATTCCACTGGCTACAGCAATGATGTAGTGTATATAATTATATCACTATTTAGACACTTTCCTGTTTTCAGAATATTCTGGAAACAGGGAAATGATAAAAATCAATCCATAGGTAAAGTCACAGAAACATGCACTATAGAGTTCCTTTTATAATCCTTTCTGTGGTAGCTAGCCATGAGATCACCCTGACATCTAATTTTGAAATTATGAATAAAAATAACTACAGCCCAAAACACAAGACGCCAGCACCCAATACGCAGTAGTTTTGTAGGTAAATAAAGCTCAAATCTTTTCAATGTCTTCCATTTATTTTTTCCCTACACATATAATCCATTACTTCTGAGCTTTAATAAGCTTATAAACAGGGACAAGAATTAGATCTCATTTATACTCTGAAAAAACTTGGGGATGATTTGATAGAAATGCAGTCTGTGATTTACTTTTCAGTGCATACAATGTATCTTCTCAGGTTAACAATGTTTGAATTAATTATGCAAATACTATTAAGCCTTTTTTAAAATTAGATACTGTTCACAATTGTGATACAAAAAAGTTACAAAAATTATTAGCAGTCAATTTTTTTTGCCCAGATACTGTACTGTCTACAAATATATAAATCCTATTAGTGCATAAATTAGGTGTGCATAACTTGTGGGCACTAATCTATGAAATGTCTTTTGGTCATAATGCAAAGACCTATAGAATTCTGGCCATCATGTTAATCACTAAACTACCTGGGAAGAAAGAATTCAAAATTGTCTTATTTACAAAAGGTTTTTTTTTTTTTTAAATCTTGTCATGTAAGATTTTTAGTGAGGTCAATAGCAACCTAATTAATTTACAGGTCATTTGAAGCATGACATGTCTTGCACAGTTAAACATTCTGTGCAGAAATAATACACAAACCATATAATGACAAGAGTCACATTTATATTCTGCCATCTGCCTGTGGCTTTCCAGTATGCACACAGAAGAAGAAACACCTGTGCAACGTCCTGACATTATCTGAATGTGGTTTAGCTGCTATATTCTACAAACACAAGTGCTATCTATAAAGAAACATTGTGTTTGAACCAAGAACTGCAACAGATGTACGATTATAGTAAAAAAAAGATTCTGAAACACAGAGAAATGCTGAAGGGCAGACGTCATTCAAGACAAGACCTTAAAAGGTCACCTTAAGCTTCAATGAAATCATTATGGCATGCAGTGCCTCAGAAATGCTTCACCTACCTGTCTTTAAAAATTACTAATTTACCTACGTTTCCATAACTCTAACTGCCCAGCTGTCAGCATTCTGATTTTTAATCCTCAATTTGGAAGCACCTCTCTTCAGAGTCCATTCAAGAATGGTTTGAAGGACAACATAATTTCTAATCCAGAAAAACTGATTTGGGGTTCAGCATTAACTAAGTAGGATCTTTTTTGAGTTTTAGCAAAACAAGTGAATAAATGGAACCAAAAGTGGAAATCTCTGAAGCAAAAGACTTGTTATATAATAGATTTTTAAATAGGCAATTACAGAAATACTCGTGCCCAGGCTATGCGTATCTTATCTTTATGAGCCCTCTGCAATCAACTCTCACGTAACCCACTGTAACCTTGGCACGAGTTTAGATCTGTTCCCTTCCCCTTGCTGTTGCAATACATCTTAGCAATTAGGGCTTGAGAAAAATTGGCGGGGGGGAGGTGTCAATAGCCTACAGAGGATCAACTGTCATTTTAACAAATTTCACGGAAGACCAAACTCGAAACAGATATGCAAGAAAACTGCACTCGCTTCTCTCTGAACTCCCCTAAACCCATCTGGCAGAAAAAAGTGAGAGGAACTGTTCTTATTCAGGAAGGAAGGAGCTAACGGGCGAAGTTAACAGCTACCGGGGGGGAAAGCGTCAGTGGGTTTTATGTGGATCTGTCTCTTCCAAAGAGGAGGAAACGGAGGTGGGATTGGAGACAGCCATCTCTTCCTGTCCCTCCACCTCCCCGTTTGGGGTAACTATGGGAAAGCGAGGGGGGGACCTCTCGTTTTCACCAAGGGAAGGACCGGAGGGCCTTCCAGGGAAGCCATAGCCTGAAGGGGGGTTGGGGGAGCCTCTCACCCATCAGCCGCAGGAGTACCCCCAGCAGGCCGGCCCACAGGGAGTCACCGGGAAACACCGGGGACGAGTTGAAGATGGCGTCGATGAGGAAGAGGCTGGGCACCCGCAGCACCACCTCCACGCCGGCCCGGAGCTGCGGGCCCAGCCG